CCTCATTCTTTGGGGCACACGTGAGGAACACAAATGCGAACAAGCCTGAATGGTCCCCAGGACAATATGCAACTGAAAACTCACACCCCAGAAGTGACTCGAACCCATACTCCCAGGAGCAACGCAACTGGTATGTACAAGACGCCTTAATCCACTTGACCATCACGACCGGACATAATGAGGTGATAGCCGAGGCTATTTGAACCACCCCACCCACCCAAAGAATGAGGTGATTTGGTAAAATGCTATGCCCAAGATTACTATCCGAGTGCCGGCGGTATGTACAAGACGCCTTAATCCACTTGACCATCACGACCGGACATAATGAGGTGATAGCCGAGGCTATTTGAACCACCCCACCCACCCAAAGAATGAGGTGATTTGGTAAAATGCTATGCCCAAGATTACTATCCGAGTGCCGGCGGTGGGGTGGTTCAAATAGCCTCGGCTATCACCTCATTATGTCCGGTCGTGATGGTCAAGTGGATTAAGGCGTCTTGTACATACCAGTTGCGTTGCTCCTGGGAGTATGGGTTCGAGTCACTTCTGGGGTGTGAGTTTTCAGTTGCATATTGTCCTGGGGACCATTCAGGCTTGTTCGCATTTGTGTTCCTCACGTGTGCCCCAAAGAATGAGGTGATTTGGTAAAATGCTATGCCCAAGATTACTATCCGAGTGCCGGCGGTGGGGTGGTTCAAATAGCCTCGGCTATCACCTCATTATGTCCGGTCGTGATGGTCAAGTGGATTAAGGTGTCTTGTACATACCAGTTGCGTTGCTCCTGGGAGTATGGGTTCGAGTCACTTCTGGGGTGTGAGTTTTCAGTTGCATATTGTCCTGGGTACCATTCAGGCTTGTTCGCATTTGTGTTCCTCACGTGTGCCCCAAAGAATGAGGTGATTTGGTAAAATGCTATGCCCAAGATTACTATCCGAGTGCCGGCGGTGGGGTGGTTCAAATAGCCTCGGCTATCACCTCATTATGTCCGGTCGTGATGGTCAAGTGGATTAAGGCGTCTTGTACATACCAGTTGCGTTGCTCCTGGGAGTATGGGTTCGAGTCACTTCTGGGGTGTGAGTTTTCAGTTGCATATTGTCCTGGGGACCATTCAGGCTTGTTCGCATATATATATATATATATATATATATATATATATATATATATATATATATATATATATATATATATATATATACTATATATATATATATATATATATATATATATATATATATATATATATATATATATATATATATATATATAACGAGTTCAATTCTCGCAAAAAAAACAACCGAGTAAAAATTCATACAAAAAAAAAATTGTCTTTACGCAGGCAAAAAATAAATATTTGTTACGTTGGACTGAAAAACAATGACAGGAGTGAAGAGCAGAGTCTACGTGGGCGGGGGGGAGGGGGGGCTCTGCAGTGGGTGGAAACGGAAACGATTGGGGAGTAATTTGTCATAGGGCAGAAATGGGGTGGATGGGTCAGGGGAAAACAATTCAGGATCTCCACGAGACTGTCAACACAGCCACTAAACATCAGCCTACAGCAGCAAGCCACCAGTGTGGAACACGGTCCATAGCTTAGAAGTCCCCCATGTTAGAAAGATGAGATGCCCCCCAGAGACGCCCATAGAGATGAAAGGTTAGCTGTCAACACGCACACACACCTCGTGTCAGCAAGGCGGACAGCCCACCTGTTATCATAACATCGAGTCAGCAAGGCGGACAGTCCGCCTGCTATCATAACGTATCAGCAAGGCGGACAGCACGCCTGCTATCATAATTCACTCTATATTCAACACATCTCCAAATTTTCCGTCACCTACACCTCTCCTTCTCCATCCTTTCCCTAAAAAAAGGGTAAGAAAGTGGACTGGTGAGTAGGTTTGGGAGTGGGTTTAGAAGTAGACGATTTGACATGTTTCAATTAGTTTACGTTCGATTAGTTCAGCTTTCTAAGAACTTACGTTCGATTAGTTAAGCCTTCTAAGAGCTTACGTTCAATTAGTTAAGCCTTCTAAGAGCTTACGTTCAATTAGTTAAGCTTTCTAAGAGCTTATGCTCGATTAGTTAAGCTGTCTAAGAGCTTACGTTCGATTAGTTAAGCCTTCTAAGAGCTTACGTTCGATTAGTTAAACTTTCTAAGAGCTTACGTTCGATTAGTTAAGTCTTCTAAGAGCTTACGTTCGATAAATTAAGCTTTCTAAGAGCTTATGTTCGATTAGTTAAGTCTTCTAAGAGCTTACGTTCGATAAGTTAAGCTTTCTAAGAGCTTACGTTCGATTAGTTAAGCTTTCTAAGAGCTTACTTTGATTAGTTAAGCTTTCTAAGAGCTTACGTTCGATTAGTTAAGCTTTCTAAGAGATTACGTTCAAATTCAGTATATAATATTCTCAAAATGTTAGTATTATTACAATTTTAATATTTAAAAAAAATCAGCATTTTCATAATCCAAATGTATCAATAAACTGTATTATAATAATTCATATATTTTATATATTTTATATACAGTGTAAGGTACAACTCAAGTTATAGTTCAGGCAAGCATTCAAGTTATCTCTCAAGCGAGATCCCAAGTTAGCACTCAAGCGAGCACGAAAGTGACGCCTTAAAACTAGTCTCGTGCTAAAGTCTTGATCCAGAATTGAAGCCTGGCCTTCAAGTCTAAAAGTCTTCCAGTCTTCAAGTCTAGGGTCCACCTAGCTGGTGCACCTGGCCGGTCCACCTTTCACAGGAGACTCTGAACACACCTACACGAGCCTCCTAATCCGAGGTTCTAATCCTAATCACCTTGCCCGAGCCCCTTCCTGGGGCATCTATAATACTCAACTGTTGCAAGCGGGGAGGGAACAAGCAACCAATGACCGCTCGTACAAAGGGTAATGGGTTTTCATAAATCCAATACTAATATGCTAATTCCGTGCTCTGCTTACCGGATTTGCTTCCGTGCCAATTACTATTAACCAATTATTATGCGGAAAATAGTATTTCAAGGTGTATACCTATTTTTTTGCTATTCCTCTCCGGTTGGACGTCAAAGTTTTATGGGTAGTAAGTCAGGAAATAACGAGGCAATATCATATATTACACGCGGGCGCCGTGTCTGATAAGGATTGTCTTATAATCAGGATAAGAGGATTAGGATAATCATATTCATTTCGCGAATCTCTGGTCATATATATTTTTTCCCTTTCTGTGTATGTGCTGCTGCTAGATATATTATTGCTGTGTGTGTGTGTGTGTGTGTGTGTGTGTGTGTGTGTGTGTGTGTGTGTGTGTGTGTGTGTGTGTGTGTGTGTGTGTGTGTAATTACCTAAGTGTAATTACCTAAGTGTAGTTACACACTACACACTATGTGTGTGTGTGTGTGTGTGTGTGTGTGTGTGTGTGTGCGTGCGTGCGTGCGTGCGTGTGTGTGTGTGTGTGTGTGTGTGTGTGTGTGTGTGTGTGTGTGCGTGCGTGCGTGCGTGCGTGCGTGCGTGCGTGCGTGCGTGCGTGTGTGTGTGTGTGTGTGAGAGATTTAAAAAAAAAACATGTAGTAGATATGACTACTATATGTTGGGAGTCATTACGTTGGACATGGAGCCGGATGGCTCTCAGGACGAGTCGGAATGTTTTGGCCTGTGTCCAGGACTACAGAATACCTGCTGGCTGGTCAGCAGGTATTTGCCTGACCCTCCAGAGGCTGCCAGGCCTTCACCCCAACACCTGCAAATGTCTCTTTTGTCTCAAAGTAAACCATTACCGGTGCAGTTCTCAACTATACCCCTCTAATAGTTCCCCAGAGGGTGAGTATATGACCTCTCACTTGGCTTCCCCGGAATACAAATTGAGGGATTTTAGAACGTTCCCAATTTTTCAGGTATTTTATTTGTTGGGTTTTCTCAATAAATAATAATAATAATAATAATAATAATAATAATAATAATAATAATAATAATAATAATAAATTAAAGAGTACATACATACATACATACATACATACATACATACATACATACATACATACATACATACATACATACATACATACATACATAAACAGTGGAGGATTCGTAGATAAGACTAATCCCTTGCATGTTGTCCAAGTCAGCAACATATTGAGCCTTAAATTGGGCAGTTAAAGTACCAGTGTGTCTGTGGATGGCTGGGGGGTGGTAAGTGAGGATGGCTGCCTGATCATTGCTAAACTACACACATGAATAAGTCGAAGAAAAATCACAAAATGATGCTGTAAAATGCCTTACTTGCTGTACACTGATGATCCACACTTCTGTAGTTGCCAGCATCTACATACCTGCAAACGAGAGGATTTTTTTATTATTTTTCATAAAATGGTGTTAAAAATGACATAAATTAACACGAATAAAACATCTTTAGTATAGTATAACTGTTTGAACTTATAGATACCGACATGGAATTGAGTGATATAATTGAGTATTTTATACAATTAAAATTTTAGCTTTTAAAAATACTTGTAGTTTGAAACAAATTTGTCAAAGAGATAATTATACAATTTTAGAAGTGTGACGAGACATAACTCCCTGACAGAGCTGCACTCAAGAGCTGCACTCAAGAGCTGCACTCAAGAGTTACCTAGAGACCAACGAGCAGTGTCGCCACTATTCACAACCCAAACGTATTCCAACACCAACGATATTTTTTACGTTCTAGCAACGTAATAACGTCGCTACAACGTCTTGGTTAGCTTATGAGCTTACTGGAAACAGGGCCCGCAGAGGGCAGGGGGTCCCGAGCTGAGACAAGCTTCAATGAAGAAGGCTAATATGATAGATGCCACTAACTTACTATAGAGGCGGCGGAGTAGAGGATTATAACTCTCTTGTGATATCAAGAGGAAGAGTTATGAGGGAGAAACAATACAAGAGATGATATCATACAAATCTTTCTGAACATAAAGTTTAGATTTCGACTGCTAATTATTCCGTTATATTGTAAATATAGAACACCATAGACGACCTCCAGTTAATATGGAACACCATAGACGACCTCCAGTTAATATGGAACACCATAGACGACCAACAGTTAATATGGAACACCATAGACGACCAACAGTTAATATGGAACACCATAGACGACCTACAGTTAATATGGAACACCATAGACGACCTATAGTTAATATGGAACACCATAGACGACCTATAGTTAATATGGAACACCATAGACGACCTACAGTTAATATGGAACACCATAGACGACCTATAGTTAATATGGAACACCATAGACGACCAACAGTTAATATGGAACACCATAGACGACCTACAGTTAATATGGAACACCATAGACGACCTACAGTTAATATGGAACACCATAGACGACCTACAGTTAATATGGAACACCATAGACGACCTACAGTTAATATGGAACACCATAGACGACCTACAGTTAATATGGAACACCATAGACGACCTACAGTTAATATGGAACACCATAGACGACCTACAATTAATATGGAACACCATAGACGACCTACAGTTAATATGGAACACCATAGACGACCTCCAGTTAATATGGAACACCATAGACGACCTCCAGTTAATATGGAACACCATAGACGACCTCCAGTTAATATGGAACACCATAGACGACCTCCAGTTAATATGGAACACCATAGACGACCTACAGTTAATATGAAACACCATAGACGACCTACAGTTAATATGGAACACCATAGACGACCTACAGTTAATATGGAACACCATAGACGACCTCCAGTTAATATGGAACACCATAGACGACCTACAGTTAATATGGAACACCATAGACGACCTACAGTTAATATGGAACACCATAGACGACCTCCAGTTAATATGGAACACCATAGACGACCTACAGTTAATATGGAACACCATAGACGACCAACAGTTAATATGGAACACAAGTACTTACAGTGTTAATGGAACACTCATCTCGTCAAGCCAATCATCGACACTAGAAACAAGAAACTTATTACTTGGTGTTTTCTGTCAGTCTGAAGAAGATTCATCAAAGGGTTTCTAATTCACGTGAGGTAGAGCATTAAATTGTTTCTAATTCACGTTGTTGTTGTTTTAGATTCACCCACTCGGAACAAAATTGCCATGTAGCACGGGCTATAGTGAGCCCGTAAACTAATGATGCGTGAGGTGCAGTATTTAATTTTCTAAATCACGTGAGGTAAAGCATTAAAGTTTCTAATTCACGTGAGGTACAGCATTAAATACTTTCCACAGAGTGAAATAACTCAACTTTAATACCCTCCATCCCTAAGCTTCCCCATTAGTTGGACCATTATGTCATACAAATAGAAGGATGTATCCGGTTACGGAGAGTGTACAGGGGCGTTTTAAACTTGGTGCTGATTACAAAGTCAATATTCTCAGCCGCTTCCGTAAAGACTCCCCATCTTAAATTGATTCCCATCTCGCGCATTTGATTCAATAATGGCTTAAAGTGGTCTTTCTGGAACTTGTATGAGCGGTGCCCCGAGATTACAACCAATTTCCAGATTCAATTTCAGATAAGCCTACCCCCTGGGCCTCTAACCCTGCCCCCCCCCCCGAACCCCCCCCCCATCCCCCTCCTCTCTTCTGCCCCCCCCCCCCCCTTGCCCCGAACCAGAGGTGTGTTAACCACCCACATGTGTGGTTGATTTATTATTTGGACTCATTCATATCACAATAATTGCAATTACTGTCAGTGGGTCACTTGCTAATTATGATTCAACAGTTCGAGTCTGAGAATAATTTGGCTGAAGGCTAACACCATATTTTAGATTTTTCTTTTTTTTTAGTTTTTTATTCAATGAATGAAGGTTTGTAGGTGAGTGGTGGGTAGGTGTCACCTGGCCGGGTTCCCACCTGTCTTGTCAAGCGCCGTCAACAGTTGCTACCTGGTGACTGTTACCTGGGGTCAAGGTGGGAGATCAGGCCGGTGGGGACGGGTTAACTAAAAAAAAAAAACTCACTTTAAAAAATATTCTTCAGGCAAATTGAGATTGCAAAATTTTGTCCTTTCTGATGTGAGAATGCTAAGTTAGGTGCAGCTGGAAGTGCAGTTGTTCTGACAATGGGCGATGGCTTATATTTTGAGTGAGGGAGTCCGTATAAACAACTGGGCCTCTACCCTTCAGACCGAACTAGTTGCCTTGCTTCTTGCACTCAAATGTGTACAAGTCTCCAAACATGATACATTAATTGTAAGTGACTCTTTATCATCCTTAATGGCTCTCAACTCTTTAAGACATATCTGTAACATGTTCGTGTCTGAAGATAGACACAAATACAACAAAATTATTAAAGCTGGTAATAGAATCCATTTCATGTGGTCTCCATCTCATGTTGTTTTCGAATGCTTAATAGAGCTCATGAGTTAGCCAAAGACTCTGCCTTTAAAGGAGAAACTGATTATAACCTTGGATGGTCAATAAGCAGTCTGAGAGCAGTAGTACACCAAAAACTTCAACAGAATTTTGTAGATCTGAGGCAAAGTGAAATCGACACCAGTAATTCCATCTATCATCATACTATCATGCAAGAGGAGCCAAACATCTATGGATCATACAATAAAATCAGCAGACTTCTAGATGTTACTACTGCTCGGCTTAGACTCGGCTACAAGTATCTCTGGGAATTCTCATTATCTGCTGATGTAGACCTGACCAAATGTAAACTGTGTCAACAAAATTATACGCACACCCTACGTCGAAAAGATACGTAAATTCAGAGACAACTCTATAAAAAATGTTCCAAAGATGTGTAAATATTTCATTCAAATGATCTGCTACCAGAAATTTTAGCCAAATACCCCAGTTTGCTAACTGTAGGTAGTAATTAAGTGATTGTAACCTATCCAACTCTGCCCACTGGATGGGGGGCGGTGTGCAGGACAAACATATCAATTGTGACACTAGCTCTCCACATATTTCAGTTGCTTAATTTAGAAACTGTACTTGTGGTCGATCTCGAATCCATTGATGATGTGACGACGTATATTGAATTTTGTAACTAGCTCATCAAGATTGTAACTTGCTTAGCTAAATGAACTGTGGGGTTCAGTCCCTGAGCCCATTATGTGCCTCTGTAACCCTTTCCACTACCGCCCACAAGATGGGTATGGGGTGCATAATAAATGAACTAAACTAACTAACTAGTTCCATCTGAAGAGATGTGGAATGAAAAGGAAACATGAAACACTGCGAAGAACAAAGTGGGACTAAGATTAAGCTAAGCCAGGTTCTTCACTAAAAGCCGTTGGGCCAATTATCAGGATAAGCGATAAGCCAGTGTGACTATAGCACTTGCAAGGGATATGAGAACACTGAGTTAGGATAAGAGAGTGCAGGGCAAGAATAGTTAGGATAAGAGAGTGTAGGGCAATGAGAGTGCAGGGCAAGAATACTCATTACTGGGTAACATTACACATCTCTTCATCCTACATGGAATATATACTGTAATCTCTGCTAACTTGTATATATTTTTCCTCTACCTCTGAAAATGTTGTAGTAAGCACTTCAACGAAATGCATAATTTTGCGACAGGTGCCATGCTTAATAAACTTAGAAATGAACTTTGGTGAGTATATGCAGGCGATGAGTCACAATAACGTGGTCTAGTGTTTAGTCTCTCTCTCTCTCTCTCTCTC